TAAAACAGTCAACAAACTAGGACTAGAAATACAACAATTAGTAGCATTTCTATATATGAACAACAAACTAGCCAAAAAGGAAGTCAAGGAAATCCCATTTATAATTGCTACCAAAAATTTTTAAATACCTAGGAATAAATTTAACTGAGGAGTTGAAAGACATCATGAGGAAAACTATGAAATACTTATGAAATAACTTGAAGAGGATTCCAACAAATGTAAAGACATCAATGCTCATGGATCAGAATTAATATTGTAAAATGACCATACTACCTAAGGCAATCTACAGAGTCAGTGTAATCCCCATCAGAATACCAATGACATTCTTCACAGAAATAAAAAAAGTCTTAAAATTTGTAGGGAGCCACACAAGACCCCAAATAGCCAAAGCAATTCTGAGCAGAAAGAACAAAGCTAGAGGGATCACACTACCTAACTTCACAATGTAGTACAAAGCTGTAGTAACCAAAACGAAACTCTTACACTGTTGGTGGGAATGTAAGCTAGTACAGACACTGCAGAGAACAGTATGGAATTTCCTTTAAAAACTACAAATAGAATTATATGATCCAGCAATCCCACTGTGACATTTATCCAAAGGAAAGGAAATCAGCATATCAAAGAGATATCTGCATCCTCATATTTATTGCAGCACTATTCACAATAGCCAAGATATGGAATCAACCTAGGTGTTTAACAACAGATGAATGGATGAAGAAAATGTGGCATATATGCACAATGGAATACTATTTAGCCATAAAAAAGAATAAAATCCTGTCATAAGTAGCAGCACATACGTAACGGGGATATTATGTTATGTGAAATAAGCTAAGAAAAGAAGGTTAAGCAATGCGTGTTCTCACATATATCCAGAAGCTTTAAAAAGTTGATCTTATAGAAGTAAAAAGTAGAAAAGAGGATACTAAAGGGTAGGAAGGGTTTGGGGAAGGAGAGGATAGGAAGATATTTGTTAAAGGATAGAAAATTACAGCTAGATAGCAGGAATAAATTTTCATGTTCTATACCACTGTAGGATGACTGTAGTTAACAATATAGTTGCAGATAGCTAGAAGGAGGGTATTGAATATTCCCAACACAAAGAAATGATAAATATTTCAGATGATGTATATGTTAATTACCCTGATCTGAACACTATACATTACACATATACACTATGTATATGTATACACATGCACTATACATATACACTGTATGTCAAAATATCACTATGTATGACATAAATATGTACAGTTATTATATGTCAATTTTTACAAAAGCTCACCAGGGTCCTACAAATTTAGGTACTGTTATTATTCTCATTTTACATTTGAGGAAACTGAGGCACAGATAAATTTATAAACTGGCCCAGTTTTGCATACCTAATAAGAAGTAGTGCACTGATTCAAATCCAGGCAGTCTATCTCTGCAGCTCATGCTTTTAGCCACTAGTATGTCTGAGAGGTTAAAAACTTCAAAGTCAATATCTAACCAATCCAGGAGCAGTGAACACCACCAGATGCCTCATGAAGGTCTTGAAATACCATCTCCCATTAAAAAGAGGCAGGTTCCTTGGAGAGATGGCTGATTTAAGGTCTGGGTCAGGAAATGAACAAGAGAAACCTGAAGCACCTTGTCGTATAGATAACAAAGAAGCTATTGAAGACTAATAGGATCATTCCAAAAGAAAAGAACTCTGAAGAGCCAACTTAAAGGGGCTCCCAATGGTCAAAGATGTGACAATTTGAGCATCAGTAGGGATAATAGCAGTAGATTGAAGTACATCAATTACGTTTAAATCTATGAGTTCATAATGATGCTCAAAAATTGGTCATGTTTAGAAGATGATTGGGAATTGCTTAATTGAAAACTGGTAAATACATTTTTTCCCTCTCATTCCTATGTGAACTGTATACCTGAATAACTAAATAGTACATGAGGTGAAGCTCCTCTTTATAGAAATAATCCAGCTGCTAAATGACAAAGGAATGATAGAATTAGAGTGTCCCTTTTCTACAACCTCTAAAGTTATGGTGTGATCATAACTGACTGCAGCCTCAAACTCTTGGCCTCAATCAATCCTCTTTCTTCTTCAGCCTCCCAAAGTGCTGTGGTTACAGGTTTGTGGTTACAGCCACTGTGCCCAGCATTTGTACTTAAATTTTTTAAAACTCTAAAAGAAATTGCATTTATAAGAAAATTGATAATGTGAACGACTCAGTGTTTGATAATGTTAAGGAAATATTGTTAATATTTTAGATATGATAATAATATGGGTTTTTTAAAGTATTTATTTATTTATTTGAGACACAGTCTTGCTCTGTCACCCAGGCTGGAGTGCAGTGGCGTGATCTCGGCTCAGTGCAACCTCCGCCTCCCAGATTCAAGCAGTTCTCCTGCCTCAGCCTCCCGAGTAGCTGGGATTACAGGTGCCTGCAACCACGCCTGGCTAATTTTTTTTGTATTTTAGTAGAGACAGAGTTTCACCATATTAGCCAGGCTGGTCTCAAACTCCTGAGCTTGTGATCCACCCACCTCAGCCTCCCAAAGTGCTGGGATTACAGGCATGAGCCACCACACCCGACCTAAGTCTTTGTTTTTATTGATGAAATTATATGTTCTGGGATTTGCTTCAAAATACTGTGCAGTGGGGTTGGGGGTAGAGATAAACAGAATTAGCCCTGAGTTGATAATTATTGGAGTTGGGGGATGGATACATGGAGACTCATCACTATTCTCTCTACTCTTGTATAGTTTAAAATTACCATAATAAAATGTTTTGTAAAACTAAATGCCTAAGTTTTGGATTGCACAAAGTACATACTGTTTCTAATAAAAATAAGTAATTTGGTCCAAAATACTTTAGATATTAAAATGTATCGAATCTTATTCTACCACCTATGTCTTTAATGTTTGTCCTTTCTGTTGAGAGAGAGAGGAAAGAAGAAAGACAGAGAGACATGTGTTTATGGCACAGAAAATGCCAGTAAAGTCAGTGGCTACTAATATCACTTGATCTTAGCCAAAAGGCTGAAAAGCAATGGCTACTGATATCAAGCCGGCTCTTAATGGCCAGGGAATAGTACTACATTTCCTTAATCTATTCACTCGCTCACATTCATAAACAACATTTTATCAAATCTCAGATGCCATTGATTATAAATTGTATTATTATTTTAGGTACCAAAAAAAAAAAACAAAAAACAATGCTCCTGATTAAATTATGGAATGCCATCACTTGTAAGATAGCAATTTTACAGATGTTAAAATATGATAAAAGCATGTATCAGAATCATCATAATACAGTATTTATCTTTTCTGTCAAGCCTCCAGTACTTTCCCCCATCTTCAGTTTCAGCTTTCTATTTCACTGGGAAAACAGAAGCACTCAGAAGAGGGCATCCTCTTTCTCCTACAACCAAATTTTTCCACCTGTTTGCATCTGTACTTAAAAACTTTGCCTTCCCTTTTATTTCAATGGAGATGAGTTATCCATACTCCTACTTAGAATGATCCTTTTTCTCAAGGACTTTCCTTCTGTAACTACTAGCCTGTCTATCCTGAATTGTGTATTTTGCCCCCTCTACTGGATCTTTTATTTTATTTTATTTTATTTTATTTATTTGAGACGGAGTCTTGCTCTGTCACCCAGTCTGGAGTGCAGTAGTGTGATCTCGGCTTCCTGCAAGTCTGCCTCCCAGGTTCAAGCGATTCTCCCGCCTCAGCCTCCCAAGTAGCTGGGATTATAGGCACGCGCCACTACACCCGGCTGATATTTTATATTTTTAGTAGAGATGAGGTTTCACCATGTTGGCCAAGCTGGTCTCCAACTCCTGACCTCAAGTGATCTGCCCACTTCGGCCTCCCAAAGTCCTGGGATTACAGGTGTGAGCCACTGCACCCAGCCTGGCTCCTTTTAATTAGCACATAAACTTACTATAATTTCTTCCATCTTGATTTTAGTTTTTGAGACAGAGACTAGCTCTGTCGCCCATGCTGCACTGCAGTGACGGAATCCCAGCTCACTGCACCGTCAACTGCCTGGGCTGAAGCGATCCTCCTCAGCCTCTCAAGTAGTTGGGACTTCAGGCCAGGCAAATTTTTCATTTTTTGTAGAGAAGAGGGTCTCACTATGTTGCCTATGTAGTTTCAGACTCCTGGGCTCAACCAATCCTCCCACCTTGGCCTTCCGAAGTGCTAGGATTACAGGCATTAGCCACCACACCCAGCCCCATCTTTAAATTAAAAAAAAAAAAAAAAATTAGAACATGTAGAAAAAGGCAACGACAACAAAAGATTTCTGGATCCAAAATCCCTATCGAATGATAGCTTTATTTTTCTGCTCATCTTAAAAACAAAACTTCTTAAAAGTGTTGCCTATATTTGCTTTCTCCATTTCCTCTCCTCTCATCCTTTCTTCCAACTCCTATTAAGTTTTCATCAGACTTTATCAAACTTCCACCACTCCGCCAAAAGGGGGTTCCAACATCACTAGTGACGACTGCTACAGCGGTCCATTCTTAATTCTCATTTTACTTGACCTATGAGCAACATTTGAGACAGTGGGTCACTCCCTTATTCTTGAAACACTTCCTTCCCTTGGTTTTGCAGATCTAAACTTTCCTACTTTTCCATTTACTTCATCTACTTCATGGATGATTCCATCTCAGTCTTCTTTGTCGGATCCTCTTCACCTACCAAACTTAACCTGGTGCATTGTTAGAAGAAACCCTACTGAGTAAGAGCAAATTATTCTTTTAGCAGACTGCTTTTACTTTCCAATATTTAAACATTTTGTTTATCCTTTTAAATGAAAATGATTTAAAAAGCGCAGCTCTCAAGCTAGCAATAGAGATACCAACCCAGGAATCTCCGCACCACCCGCAACAGAGAGCAGCGTCTGATGCCTTCCGGAAACAAGCTCCACTGGCCTTATGGGAAATGTGGTCTCCTACGGATAGTCTACACCCGGGAGGAGCCTAGGAACTCTAGGTGGACAGTTACTTCCGCACACGCGCAGTAGGGCGGTAAGCGGTATTCAATCTTCAAATCGGCTCTGCGAGAAGCGCCGGCGGGGGCTGCTCCCCCAGTCTCTGGACTATGCTGTGACTAATCCCACGCTTGGAGCCGTAGCTGCGAGCGAGGCAGTGAAAGGGTGGCAGGTATGGCTTTGCTGGACTCGGAGGACGTAAGAGAAAGGCGGGGACTGGCTTCTGTCTACCCTACCGAAGATAAAACTTTACAGTCTCCAAGTGCTGTGACTTCAGGCTTGGATATGTGGGTCCCGTTCAACTCGAGTAGCTGAGAGAAAGCAAGAGTTGGGCACCGAGAGGCACTGACTGGGTAGATGCATTCTTGCTCTTGTAGGTCAAGGTCACTGTGTAGGAGTCTATTCATCTAACTGTACCTTTCTTGGTTCCAAGAGCATAGTTGGCCCGACCGGAGCAATTTTAAGCCATTTCAAGGGATCCAGTGGAAACTGTAAGCCATTTCAAGGGATCCAGGAAGAAAGCATTCTTGAGAAACTGCTGTGCATTCGAAGGGTATTCTCAGCAATCATTTGAAGTAAATGTTATCATCATTTTGCATATGAATTAACTGAAAGGTGAAATTACTTGCCTGGACTGACAGCTTAGTAAGTGGAAGAACTGAGATTCAAACTCAGATACATTTTCTCCAAATTTCATTCTTTTTTTACAGTATAGCCTTCCTGCATAAAACAGAGTTGGGTTTATTCTCCTGAAATATTTGAGCAATGAATGCTGAGTAAATTTCGATTTGTGGTCATTTTGTAGAGTCACTTGGTGTATCTGCAGATCTTCCAGTGCACACTGTGTAAATGAAGATGTGAGTCGCCAGTTTGCCCATTTTACCCTTTCTAGAGCCCCAGCAGTCGAAGCTCATAGGAGATGGTGAGTTCCTAGAGAGAGAAACATTTGGAGTTTAAACAGAAGGATGCAGCTTTAAAAAAAAAAAAAAAAAAAAAAAGTATTCCTGGGTCCCTGACTCCATCCTTCTCAAGAAAGCCCAACCTAATTTGCAATCTCTTATCCCAGCTGCAGAGCAGAAACCAGAGAATCACAGAAAGGAATCATTTCTAGACTTATGGAACTTCAGAGACCAGGCTTTTAAGTTAGTCTTTCCATTCATTTCATTATTTCTTCAGGATAAATTTCTGGGAGGAAAAAAAATAACTGTTTCACGAGGAACAACTTGGTGTTAGATCGGTAGGACAGAAACATAGCATCCTTATCTAAGCTCCATATATTCCTAACAATCACAAGTAGAGATCTGTGCTTATGGAACATGCACTTTTCTGACTTGCAAGAAATGTCATTTTCCCCCACTAGGTGGCAGTTTCTGAGGCTGCAGTGTGGGTACTTATGGTCTGATAGAGCAGGGTTCTACTTGCATGCAGTCCTGGTATCTCAGGTCTTTCTGTTCTCTTTCCCATTTCTGCTTTCATAGATTTCTGTCTAAGAGCTGCAGAAAATGATCAACTTCCAGGTAAGGCATCCATCTATTCATCCAGTTGTTTAAATCTCCCAAAAGTCCATATGATCAAAAGGAAATGTTTGGTCAGGAAAAATGTAAACCGAATAAAAGATCAAGTCTAAAAGGAAATATAGAAGATTGCTAAGTTGATATCAAAGTCATAGAGTTTGCAGATAGTTGGAACAAATTTGAGCTGCAAATGTATACTTAGTCTTCCTGGAAATTGTAGTAAATGGATGACCAGCCAGTTAAAAAGTGTTGGCATTGTCCATGAAGATAAAGCAAAGTTATTCTTCTTATAAGTAAAGCTTTTCCTGACACGTTTCTTTGAAGAAAATCTTTTCTAATGAGTTTTCACATAGATAACATTAGAAACAACATTCACAGCAGCAGCCTGCGATAAGTATAGCATCAGGTTTCCTGTTACTTTCTTAGAGTATTCCCTAGAGTAAGAACATAGTGCCAGCAGCACTAAATGAGCTCAATTTATTAGTGTAGTTATATAGCCTTTTTAATGCCCACCTGGATCCATAAGTAAATCTTATACCTTTTCCCTTCCGTAGCTATCTTGAGCATTTACTCTTCCACATGAATTTTAAGGTCATTGAAATAACAAATATTGTCAAGGTCCATAAATCAGTATGTTAGGTATTCTTTTTTTCTGAGACAGAGTTTTGTTCTGTTGCCCAGTCTGGGGTATAGTGACATGATCTCAGCTCACTGCAGCCTCCGCCACCCAGGGTCAGGTGATTTTCCTGCCTCAGCCTCCCATGTAGCTTGAATTACAGGCATTCACCACCATACCCAACTAATTTTTGTGTTTTTAATAGAGATGGGGTTTCACCTTGTTGACCAGGCTGGTCTTGAACTCCTGACTTAAAGTGATCCCCCTGCCTCAGCCTCCCAAAGTGCTGGTGGGATTGCAGGTGTAAGCCGAACCCAGCCAGATATTCTTTTTTTTTTTTTTTGAGACGGAGTTTCACTCTTGTTACACAGGCTAGAGTGCAATGGCGCGATCTCGGCTCACCGCTACCTCCGCCTCCTGGGTTCAGGCAATTCTCCTGCCTCAACCTCCT